GGCGTAATGGCTATGTTATCTAATCGGAGAGTACTCACCAAGTTCTAGCTACTTGGGGTAGGCCCTTGCCGATTAGTACAGTCGTATTGTTCCATTTTCCCGAGTAATTCGCCGAGTACTCGGCGATTTTTACTACTCGGTGACAGGGGCGGAGCCATACTTTAGTACCGGGGGGCGGAATATAATACAAGTATCAGAATATAAATTATAAAAATATCATAGCAAATAAAATGATATACCATTATTCATTTATAAGATTCAAAATTACAAAATTAACTGCACGGCAAATAAAACTCAGAATGCCTTCCTTGCTGCTTCCATATCACAAAAAATCCTCAATAATAGATTATACACAAACTCTTTTGGCAATTTCTTTTTCTATATACACTAACAAACAAGCAGTAAGAAATTCATCTTCATCTTGTGGGTTTTCCATCTATATAAAAAAAGTTACATACATGATTTATAATCGCATAGTAAAAACTAAAAAGCTAACTACACGCAGCCTCAAATTGTCACATAAGTACATAACCATTTATGTATAGTGAAAATGCCATATGAAGAATCTATTTTAGAAACAACCAAGATAAAATAAACAAAACAAGATGAGATAAAATAAGAAGACAGTCGGTAATAATCGACTAACCTCAGTACATTAGACGAACGGCGCGGTGTATCCTGCGTCCGACCTAAGGGGAAGCGGACATGGACAGGGAGAGAGCAATCTAGCGTACGACCGTCTGCCTGAGAGATGAGCAGCAGAGAGATGGTAGATCGGCTGGATTAGACCGGATGAAACACTTCGGACCAATAACTTTAAATTATTTAATTTGGTGGATTTTATATGGAGTTATATTTTTTTAGTATTTTAACTTAAATAAGTTGATTTTAATGAAATTGATGAAATTTTAGTTGAAACCGTTGATTTCACTAATTTTCAGAAATATTATATTTAAAGTAAATTTTAATGATAAAAAAATAATCTTTTGATAATAGCTACAATGGTTTTTTACGGTAATTTAAACAAACTCAATTACAAAAGTAATTTAAAACTTACTTGCGTCGATCGTTATATAATTTTGTATGCAAAATCTCTTGATTTTATATCATAAACTAATCTAAAATGATTGAAGGGACTCGTAAGTTGAAAATAAAAAAAAAATCAAACTGGCTCTTAGTAGCTTTAAGCTGGAAAGTAAATATTTGAATTAATAATAAAATATTTAAAATTGATATATTTTGAATCTCATAAACTAATCTAAAATTTAATATTTGTTTAAAATTCACTCACATCAATAAGTATTGAAATATTTACAAAAATATTATAAATTGTTTTAACCATTATTTATTATTTTATATATACCATATTTTATTAATCTCAAATTTAAGTGTCATTATAACTATCACTATCTTACATGAACTCGTGTTTACAAATAAAAGTTGGATTATAAGTATTCATCTATTTGAATTAAAAAAGTTATTTGATTATGTTAATTAGAAGAATTGGAATATGCAAAAACAAAAATGCTAGGTTGGAAATACATTTGATGATGAATATTGATAGTGTTCCATACTTCCCACCACTACTAATAGTAATATACTCCCTCCATATTATATTATATGTCTCGTTTGCTTTTGCACGTAATTTAAGAAAATTATTCTACACGTTATAAAAAGTAAGATGTTTGTGGTACTGTAACGACACTCTAGCGTTTCTATAGCGGTATTGTAGCTGCTTTTTGGATGAGTTTTTTTCTAAAAAGAGAAATGAGACAATTAATTTGATATATCTCAAAAAGGAAAGTGAGACAAAAAAAGTGATACAGAGGCAATATTACACATACTCTAAATATTGATATTTAAATTTCATGTGACATGGATTGGAATTATTTGCGGCGTTTAGTCGACACAAAAATCACATTCAATTCACAAAATATTTGCAAACTAAAAAATACACATTTCAATAGCTTCTTCGCACGCTATGACTTTTAGAAATTTTCGTTAATATGATTATAACATAAAAGACTTATAGATGCTATTAATTCACAAGTCAATTAGCGCGTTATCTCTCTCTATCTCTCTCTTCCCTTGTGACATATGTGCCTCAAGTATTTTACCTCTATTTCAAAATTTGACTACTTTTCTTAACAATATTGTATTTCTTAAACATTCCATATTTATAATGATGACGAAAGGAACACTCATTTTTCATCAATGAAGAGACCTCCTCAAACCCTACTTGATATTATAAAGAGAGAATTCCCTAAATAGGAGTAAAAAGTTTTAAAATTCCAAAATAGAACCATCATGTTTTTTATTCCTTGAATAGGAGTACATTTCTGTCAAGTTTGGCATTACTAGGCTTTAAACATAAGTTTTTTTCCAAATTTGGCAGATTAGTCCTATTCATGGAATAAAAAATATGATAGTTCTATTTTAGAATTTTAAAACGTTTTTGCTCATATTTAGAGCAATTTCTATATCGTAAAGTGATGACGAAAGGAGCACCCATTTTTATAAAACATAGGAGCATATAAATATAAATAGTATGTTTTCTTTCACGTCAATGGGAGGAAAGATTGATGTTAGTCACAAATTGGTAAGTCTCCTCCAATCAATGGGACAAAACTACCATTTGATTGGGAGACTTATGCCAGAGCGGAATAGAGTGTCTAAATTCGCACAATTATAAATTTATGATACTACTGCAAATGAGGTGGTCAATCGAATAAAATCGATGAAGTGCTTTCATTATTAAATACTAAATGTCTAATACTTTTGTTATAATTCTATAACGAGTGGATATTAAGACTACATGTTTCATCCTAAAATTAAAATCAACCAGATAGGAGGAACAATCTAAGATTTTATATAGTGTTTGATTTCTTTATACTCATTCGTTGTGGGATAAATACTTCAACATGCTCACTCAACCCAAATCGGACTAGACATTATCGGGTTTATAAATGGGTCAAACAAACCCTTAATGAGCTACCAATAGTCTTGTGTGCTTCAAAAAATCGAACAACAATTGAACTTTGCTCGGATACCGTGTTAAGTAGGCATTGGAAAATTGGTCTAAATCGGACCGAAATCACCAATTGGTTCCTAACAATAGGACTCAGGGGACGATTCGATTCCTAAAATGCATAAAACGGTTCGGTTCTGCCTTTAATAAAATATACTACATTCGTCTCGTTGGAAGGTCCCCATAGCAAAACGGCACAGTTATTTAGATAATAATTAAATAAATATTTCGAGTATATTTTAAGAAATAATTTTAAGAGGTATATATTACTTAGTATAATGTAGTTAGTATTGATAATTGTAATGTTATAAATGTATTATTTTTAATATTTAATGAATAATTTGCCACTTGAGATTGTTAATTATTTTCTAAAATGGAAATGAGAACCTTTATATGAGACGTTCAAAAAAGGAAAGTGGGATCTTCTAATGGGACGGAGGGAGTAACTAGAAACGAAGTTCATATATATTAAGATAAATTATTGAGACGATGGGTTGGCCCAAAGTAATAAAATATTGTCTAGGCTGTAAAGTGGAGTAAACATTTAGGAAATAGAAGTTAGTCTTTTGATTTAAAATTAAATTTATGTTGACAAATTTAATAAATCAATCAGTTAAATAACTCTAAGTTTTTTCATTTTTGTACTTTGCTAACTTAGGATGTTTTTACTTGGGCTATAATTTCTCCCAAACCAGACCAGATCAGACCAGTTCAGACCAGAGCAGACTTGGATAGTTTTAAAAATACAAAGAAACCAGACCAGAAAAGTTGAGACCAGATCATACCAAACCAGCAAATTACAGTCCAAGTAAAAATATCCTTAAGAAGTATATTACATTATTTCCTTTCAGTCGCTAAAATTGATATTTTATAAATCCAATTAGTTTCTAAGTTCATTAAGCATGATTGACATGCTAACTTGGAGTATTTATCCTTTTTGTGATGCAAGCTAACATGAAGTCAACAATAGATGTTGGTAATGTACTTTTATTCTTGGAATGGAATTGGTAGTACTGAAATAAGAATCACTAAAAGAATAAACACATACTAACATATTTTTGTAGAAAGAACTGAACCAAACATTGATTAATTAACTGGAAAAAAATAGTAATTGAGTTAACTTAAGTTTGAGGCTCTCTCAGTAACTTGCTTTGTTATTGTGTAGTAGTTATTTACATTCATACTAATTTAGTATTTTATTTTTCAGTTTTGATATTGGACGTGTTACTCTTGTAATCTTGGAACCTAAATTAAGCTTTCTGTAAGTCTTTTGCGTGTTTTGATTAGGAGTTGAACTAAAAGTCTTTTGCGTGTTGCTTTCTTGAGTTTTCATATTACTATGTTCAAACTTTTATGATTTTATACATATTTGAAGTTTCACATTTTAATTATGTCATATGTATCAATACGGATGTAAATTGAACTATTTTTTTAAAATGAAAGAGTTAATTTTCGAGGATTAAAAAGCTTCTTTAGCAACCGAAAAAAGCCAGAACCGAAATGCTTACACTTCATTGTATTTTAAGAGTTATGTTATTATAAATAGTTCTAAAAAAAGTTGATCAGAATCGAACTGAGTCCAGACCTAATGTTAAAAGTTAGATTTCATTCTAAAATGTCAACGTGATGGAAGGAGTATATGTCAAATATAAAATTACTTTTAATAAATTAAATTTACATATTCAGAAAATATATTAAAAAATTCTATAAAGTCATAAAAAAAATTCAAATTTGATAAAAGTTAAATACTAAGTATAAAAAGCAAAAAAACTTTTTTGTAGTTTTTGTTCGAAAATGGCACAAAGTACAGTGGGCGCTTTTGGTACATCCCTGTCAATAAATTAGCTTAAACATACTATCCACCTAATCATTAGTTAGGTCCTTAGTCTCATCCTAACTGCTTGTTATATTTATGTTGGGAAGTTTATAGAAGAAATGATAGTGTAGTTGTACAAAGAAAAGTACACTCCCTAACTTGATCTATAAATAAGCAATTGGTAATATGATGTACATAATAATTCATAGTGTGTATATTTCTTTCAAGTACAATACTTATAGTTATTTTAATACATATGAAATTCATTTCAATAAATTCTACTTCACAAATTTAGAAGAAACTAGATCCATATCATAAATATTTTATAATTCCATTGAATTTATAATGAGAAAGGTACGACGTGATCAACCTTATACGAAGTATTTGCAAAGAATGGGTAACTTTTGATTTTCGTTTACTCGTAAATCAAGACTGAAAATTTAAAGCAAAAAAGAATTGATTTTTGAATTTTCGATAAACACAAATAATTTAACTTTTCCAAGCATACACCAGTAAAGAGAATCCAGTGGGGCCCTTCAGCTCGTTCTCTTCCGTGCTGGCCCACTCTATCACCGAACTACAGCTGGACGACGCCGACGACAGAGAAGTCGACGACGAACTTCTCGCCGTCCTCAACAACCCCTTCTTCATCATTTTCGTCTCGAACCCGAATCCGCAGCTTTTCACCGCTTTCCCGGCTCGTGAATGGTCTCCGCCGCCGTCTTCGAAGCTCTCGTTCTCGAATTTGAACATGAACAGAGCGTAGCCGTCGTCGTCGTCCTCGAATAACCAGTTGTGGACGTCCCAGGAGATGTGGATCGGGAAACCGTCGATGACGATTCTCTCGTTCCCTCTGAATTTCCACTTTAAATGCTTAATTTGAAGGACCCTTTTGTTTTCCACGTAGAAATAGAGCCTCGGGTCGTCGCCGGAGATCCGGCACTCGATGCAAATGTTCCGGTGTTTCCCGCCGATGGTGGCCTCCGTGACGTACAGTTTGCTGCCGTAGACGTGTTCTCTCTTCAGCACCATGGTTTGATCCGGGCCGGCCCCTTCACCCGGGATTCGCGCCCGGGTTTTGGAATACGCTTCTTTTTGTGAATCTCCGACGAGGAGGACGATTTCGCCGTCGATGATGACGGCGATGAAGAATCCGGATCTGGGCTCGGGCCCGGATCCAAACTTCGCTCTCGAAAGATCCCAGAATATGTGCCCATTCCTGATTTTTCCGCCGCAGCTGATTTGAAGCCGTTTAGATCCCTGCTTTTTCCAGAAGACGAAGGGCTTGATGTGGAGGTGGAACGACGGAGTGGCGGAGAGAGAAGCAACCGCCGGCGTACTGACCCCGTCATCATCCTCCGCCGCGTCGGGCGGAGGATCGTCGAGAGAGAAATGGAGGTGGAAGGACCGACCCAGCATGCTGCGGGACCATGTGACGGCAATGATGCCCAAATCAGTGTGGTAAAGGGAGGTAGCAAGCGTGGGAGCCGCCGGAATCGGCGGTGCCACTTTCGATGACCGGCTCCCCCCGCCGCCGCCGGAGGCGGCGGAATTACTAGGCCGGAAACAAGAAGGAGAAGGAAAATGGGAAGAATGGTGCTGCTTGGCTATCATCCTAATGCCCAAAAATATAAAAGGGCAGAAGATGATTTAATTTATCAGAAAGAAAAGGAGAGATTTAAGAATAGTCAGAAGAAGAGGTCAGAAAGAAGGGTTTATATGGGATGAAGAAGATGAGCAGAGAAAACTCTGTGTTCCATAATTACAGAAAAGACTTTGGAAACCCAATTATGACTTCACTTTTACCAATTATAATAGAGTTCGGGTATATGGGTTGGATGGATGCCCAGTTTAGCTGTCCGATTTAAAGCCAAATTGTGGACCAGAATCATCCGATTAAAATCCAGAGGACAGAAATGTTCCGCCCACGACATGTGGGTTCAAAGACAGAGGATCCCCCATTACACCTGGATGAGGTTTAATTAGACTTTCATACAGCTCCGGGAAACGAATACATTAATGTTTTTAGAAAATGATAAAATTATCAACTTCTGTATAACGACTTATTATAATAAATGCATTTCATAGAAAATGCTAAAAATAATCACTACTCATAAATTTCACAAAAATAATCCCTACTAGTTATTTAAGTAGTATTTCACAAAAATAATCTGATTTTGACGATGTTAACTTTTCCGTTATTTTTTTTAAGTTTTGAATATATCAAACCAAAACATTGTATAAAAATTAATAATATTATATTAAATTTTAATCTTTTCCTACGATAAACTAATATATTTGAGTTTAATTCAATATTCTACATAATTGTATTAATATTTAATGTATTATTACTAAAACTACTTCTGAATCTCTATTATAATGAATAAAAAAATGAATCTTAATAAAATATGGATAGGGAATGAAAGTGAATAGAGAATTTGAAGAGTATTATGTTTTATGGAAATATTTAATATTAAATTATTATTTTAGTAGAAACAAGATTAAACTCAAATATAGTAGTGTCAATGTTTAAATATATTTTCGATTCAATATATTTAAAATAAAAAAATAACGAAAAACTTAACACCGTATGCACTCGGTTTATTTTTGTGAAACAATTAAATAGTAGGGATTATTGTTGTGAACTTTTCAAGTATGAATTATTTTTGTAAAATGTGTAAAAGTGGAAATTATTGGTGTCAATTTTGCCTTTTATATTTAGTAACCCTGATATTTCTATTTGGCTGTGGAAAAAGCAATACTTATAGCTTATGAGGTAGGCTTAAAATTTAGGTAAATTTTGCATACAAACGTTAAGTTTCATTTTTTATTAGCACAACATGATCCTAACTTGATGTGAGTAATCATGACAGAAAATACTTTTAAATGTTTTATTGCGCAAAAATCAATATGTTTCCCACAAGAAGTTAACTCTCGCATTTCGGATTCACACAAAACGAGGTCACAGAACATAGATGAAGCGACAATTTTGACATGATTAATAATTTTCTTGTTGTACTAAAATAAACTTATACGAAGTACCAAATTGCGAACATTCAGTCTTCCTTCAATTTCTTTACCGCATTCAATGGATAAAACTTGAAACTCAAGAGAGATGGTCTAGGACACCTCTTTACCATCATGTTTTTACTTTCCATCTCCAACTATATTCTAGTGTTATACTCAATCTCATCCTCCTCTCCTCTTTGCCGCTTTTGTTCAAATTGTCTGTATAAAGCTTGACTCCATATCCCACAACATCCACATGCCCTTTCCAAACGCCCTTGCCTTCGCGCTCAATTGTCCTTGGTAACTTTAATTATATGATTGTTCCCCGTTTGGCCATCACGTCTTCCTCCATTTGTGACTAACCATTTGTTCCCACTCTCGAATTCATATCGCACCCTGCTGTCTTTAGTCGAGATTTCTTCATGCCTTCGCATGACTGCATTACCATCCAATAGCTAAGGAAAAAACTTCTTTGATGCCCAATAATATCACAAGAGAAACAGAAAAGGAAATTATCATAAAATAGGAATAAAAATGTTTTGAAATTCTAAAATAACACTCATGTTTTTATTTCCAAAATAATATGAGTAGTAATTATTGCAATGTTTCGGTTGTATGAGACTTTAAACATGTGTGTACATTTCAAACTTGGTAGTACATTTTAAAACGTTTTTACTTCTAGCGGTATTTTATTACAAAAAAGAACTAAGAACCCGAACCGAATCAGACCATTTCAAACGAGACATGTAAGGTTCGATTCATATTTCAAGCTTTGATATACCTAGATCGAACCTATCCATTTAATGGAACCAGTCATTTTTGAAACTTCATCGACTACCGGAAGGGGTAGAGCCAAGGGACTAGGGTGGTCAGCCGACCCCGCTGAAAGTTTGAGAGTATAGAGCTCTGTAATATCTTCGATTTGATATATTACGGCCCTCGTAACTCATTACGAGTAAAAAGTTATGAATTCTACAAAATCAGCACTATCTAAACTTAAAATCAGCAAAATTTGATGCGTACTATAGATGATTTTGTCAAATTCTAAAAATAGAATATAATTCACTCAATACTTACGTGACACGACTCATAAACAAAGCAAACACAATCTATCTTATTGATACGAGTGTATTTATCTAAAGTGCATATGAAATATTCAACTCAAATGTTGTTTAAAAATGATTCATCATTTTCGTTTGGTATATAGGTTGAGTTTCGACCCTCCTGACCCGTTTTTTACGGGGACTGACTGGACAATGAACACTCCAATACTCCCGTAGTTATAGTCTTATTCTCTGTAGAAGCCCGCACTAATCCTTGTTGTTTTGTCTTGTTTGGACTTTGGGGGCTTCATCAATCTTCCTCTTTTTTAATGTAAAAATCTATGCCCATATTTATTCTCATTTTCTTGCAATATAATCTCCAGATTTGGTCTTCCTATCTATCTATGAACGTCTTCTTCTATACAAACCAAACACATGTTTCTTTGGGTTCTTTTTCAATTCTTCGTATATTTTTTCACATGGATGAATTTAGGTATAATAGTCACACTAGCTAGTAATAGGATAGGGGTTGTAGACTGGTAGCCTTATAGGTGGGTTGAAACAAAGAAGTCATTGAGAGCTATTGCAATAGAAGAATGACTATTGTTTTCTAGTTTAATGATTATTTTTTGACTAAATGATTAAGTGATACCTTAAATTAAGTCATAATGAAATGAATTAATGACCGAACGATTAAGACGTTATTCTCGTTAAGTTCATTAAATCAAAAGTAAAAACTTCTACTCGTTCTTTTCATTTGGCAACTAAGCTTCATTAAGTCTACATACTCCCTCTGTTCTGGAAACAACTTCACAGTTTGACTTCACACATATTAAGGAAATAAGCTTAATGAGGGTAAATTTTACTGTTTCGACACTGTTTAAATATTGATTGACACTGTTTTACACTGTTTTGATGTAGATAATTTGCCAAATAATGAAGTGGGAAGATGTGTAAGTTAATTTCGGGACTACCCGAAAAGTAAAGTGAGAAGTTGTTTATGGAAGAGAGAGTATATACTACATATGTTACATTAAAGAAGACATTTGTAATTAAAAGGTGTATTCCGTGATTTAGAAGTACAATGGATGATGTTCTGATAATGATTCAAGGGTCAGTAAAGGGGTGGATTGGGTCAATAGCGTTGAGATGGATAGAGTGATGTGAGGATAGTGAGATTGTGTCAATGACGTTTGATAGCAATGGATATGGAATGAATTGTTACTCTGAAAAAAATGGTACAGAACTCTCAAGTTGAATCCTTCCCCAGTTCCCCATCACAGTACGAATAGTTATATATTGCCATATAACTATAAAAAGTACTTGGGATAGCTAGAGCCGGTTTAGTAATATCAAAATCGGTCGATTCTATCGGTATTTATGAAATTCTGGTTGAATTGGTTGTATTGGTTGATTCTACTGGTCTATGAAAAAAATATTTAAAATATACCCCCTCCGTCCCCCAATTAAGTTACCGGTTTGATTTCACACGTATTAAGAAAATAAATTTGACTTTACTGTGGAGTGCACCGTTTTGCACTGTTCAAACACTATTTGACACTGTTTGGCACTGTTTTGCACTGTTTGACACTGTTTCGATGTAGATAATTTGTCAAATAAGGAAAGTAAGGAAGTGCGAACTTAATTTAGGGACTGTCCAAAAAGGAAAGTGGTAACTTAATTGGGGGACGGAGGGAGTATATTATTAATAAAATAAAGAAAAAAATATATGTAAAAATAGCTAAAATGATCATCTACATTAACTTCAGCCAATATAGCCTGAAAAGTAACTCCAACCTTACTTTTTCTTATTATTACACGATTCAGCATGTGTAATCAAAAGTTACGTGTTTGATGAAAAAAATGACTGATAAGCCTGATAAGTCGGAAAAAAAAGAGTTACAAAACACGATTCTAATTTGAATGTTATAAAAAACTTGTAGTTGGAATTTTTACATCAATTACAGGCGTAGAGCAAGGAAGTACTTGTACTTTTTAAATCAAGAAAATCATTTGAGTGTTGGTGTTACAAACTTACCACAACAGTTGGGAAACATGTTTTTTTAGATCGCTCAGCTTCCCTCCCTACCTTCCTCTTTATGGAGTTTGAACGCCAAACCAATAACACAAGCTAAATCTTTAATTGATGTAAAACTGATTAAGTAAATCTTTGTTGTTGGTATTTAAGACGAATTGGTCCAATCAGATACTTTGACAATATCTCAATAGGCGAAGCTTCCTCGTCGGCCTTTGAAATATCAGCTGCTAAATAGGAGTAATTTTTTTACTATCAAGTCACTTAAAGTTCATATACGTGGTATATGTTTGACACAATGATTTAAGAGTTTTTTTAAATTTAAGATTTAAAAAAAACATAAAAAGTTACACTACTAAAAAGTTATACACTTGTACTACTAAATACATTTTAAAAACTTAAAGTTCTGAGAAAAAGTTATATGTAGTACTACTAAAACGTTACATCAAACGTAAAAAGTTAAACTCCATGTCTCCATGATACGGAGTAATAGCTAATTGGCCAAGTATATCACAATCAACAACTTTCTTGGTGTATACCTTTTGTGTATACCTTTTGTGTACACACGTCTGTCCCCACGAGCTGTCTGTCCACAGACAACTCATCTGATGGGAACAAACGTGTGTACACAAAAGGTGTACACCAAGCATTTTTCCACAATTAATTAACAAGTATACGTTAGAGCTTGAACCATGCATAATCAATTAAGAAACCACTGAAAAATTAGAGGAAATTACCAAGATGCGGGAATTTTTGGTCTGAGACCCCAAACTACGGGAATGCTATTTATGGTACCAAAATTTGGGAGTCTGAACTCCAAATTCCGACTAGGGGTAGGGTTATATTTTTGGTTGAACACCTGCAATTGGAATTGGCAAATCCGAATGGGTAAAGAACTCCACTTTTTTTATATTAT